ATCATCTGGGAGGTGAAATCCTGCAAGAGTCAAATAGAGAGAAAGATCTGTGGGTTGATATCACAACGAACCTGTCCCCACAGGCCCACATCAAAAGAATATCATCAGCGGCATATGCTAGACTGGCCAACATAAGAACTGCCTATAGAGACTTGTGTAAGGAATCGTTCAGGACCCTGTATACCACATATGTAAGACCAATCCTGGAGTCCATACCTAGTTAAACACAACACAAAGTTAGAGAAGATTCAGCGGTATGCCACCAGGCTCGTCCCGGAACTGAGAGGAATGAGCTACAAGGAAAGGCTATTGGAGCTGAACCTCACATCCCTGGAAAACAGAAGAGTAAGCATGATAACCACCTACAAAATTCTCAGGGGAATTGACAGGGTGGACAAAGATAAACTCTTCAGCACGGGTGCGACACGAACAAGGGGACACAGGTGGAAACTTAGTACCCAGATGAGCCACAGAGACGTTAGAAATAATTTTTTCAGTGTCAGAGTAGTTAATAAATGAAATGCACTAGGAAGTGATGTGGTGGAGGCTGACTCCATACACAGTTTCAAATGTAGATATGATAGAGCCCAGGAGGCTCAGGAATCTGTACACCAGTTGATTGACAGTTAAGAGGCGGGACCAAACCCCCGCAAGCACACTTAGGTGAGTACAAGTAGGTGAGTACACACAATAATATAGAGATATTAGAAAGAACTTTTTTAGTGTCAGAGTAATTGACAAATGGAATGCATTAGGAAGTGAGGTGGTGGAGGCAGACTCCATACACAGTTTCAAATGTAAATATGATAGGGCCCAATAGGCTCAGGAACCTGTATATCAGTTAATTGACAGTTGAGAGGCGGGACCAAAGAGTCGAAGCTCAATCCCCACAAGCACAACTAGGTAAGTACAACTAGGTGAGTACAAGGTTTCTATTGCTACGGCTTACAAATACAACCCCACCAAGTACAAAAGGAACGATACCATGATCTCCAGCAGTGCTTCAAGTGCTACGAGCTCTCTCACTCCACCAACAAGTGTCAGCACCTTGGTACCCTGTCAGCGTCCTGTCCAGAAGTGCTGCCTGTGCCCACTGGACCATCACTACTCCATATGCAAGGCAACAACCCATCGCTGCTTGCTCTGTGATGGCAATCACCCTGCAATTTCCTACCGCTGCCCCCGCAGACAAGAAAACATCAACATCAAGGCCCAGGTTGAAGCCAAGAGAAACATCCATTCTACCTCTGCGACCAGAGTCCCAGGCGCTCAAACCACCAACACCTCAGCTCGCACCAACCGACCAGAAGACTCTCTAGTCTTACCAAAGAGTGGCTCCTCCCACCAGACGACCCAGCCTTTAAAATGGGGACCCAAGGCCCAACAGGCTCCTTAACAGCCCCCTGCATCACGTGCAGGCATTATCCCTGGTCTTATTAGACTAGCGGAGAGGCTGGCCGGACCGAACAACCACCGTTTTGTCTGTGAACTGAGCGCATTATACTTTGCCAATGGTCTGGATCCCATCATAGCCCCTGGCACAAGTCTCACTGACTCCACTACCACTCCGGAGACTGCCACCAGGACGACCACGACGTCAATTTCAACACAGACTCCAAAACCACCCAAGACCCGAGCGGCACAAACAGAGGTATTTTCCTTTCCATAACAGGTACAGCCAGCCCTCCAGGACTGAAAACCAACATGAAGACCCCCATCCATCCCCAGATCTCTATATCAATAATATCAACTATTGATAGAGATAATGGCTCCAAAGAACCTCCACCTACGGGATCACAATAGCCCATGCTACTTGGAACTTTTTGTTCTGAGTAGCTGAATCTAAAACAACAACAACTGGTGTTTGAGTTGGGCTGTTATTAAAAGCACAAGGAACACAAAGCAGGAAAATATACCGCAATAAAACCAAATCAATGGCTGATAAAATGAGAACTTACGACATCAGACTCGCAATACAAGGACACGAAATTGAGTGAGTGGCCTCTTTTCAATACCCAGGAGTCATAATTGACTGCCAGTTGAAATTCACTCAAGAAATTGAATAGCTTCGGCAACGTTGTAACGCCAAAATCTCAGCTTTGCGCTCCTTGACAAGTCTTAGAGATGGTGCAACTCTACCAGTACTACAAGAACGTAAATGTACAACGTTCAAGCAGTTAGGTCACTCATTGACTATGCTGCTCCTGCTCTTACATCCCTCAGAGATAACTAATGGGAGAAACTGTTAGCGTCTTAAAATGATGCCCTCAGAGCAATGCCGGGAGCACCAATATGGACGCGTTGAGAGAACCTAAGAATGAAAACCAACTTATCAGCCTTAGAAAACAGAATCAAACAAAGAATAGCCTCCATGACAGCAATACTTGTTGGAACTACCGCCAGACACTGGTGACAGACACTAGGGAGCCGGTGGCTGAGCGGACAGAACACTGGACACGTGATCCTGTGGTCCCGGGTTCGATCCCGGGCGCCGGCGAGAGACAATGGGCAGAGTTTCTTTCACCCTGATGCTTCTGTTACCTAGCAGTAACTAGGTACCTGGGAGTTAGTCAGCTGTCACCGGCTGCTTCCTGGGGGTGGAAGCCTGGTCGAGGACCGAGCCGCGGGAACACTAAGCCCCGAAATCATCTCAAGATAAGACTGTCAGTCAGAGATCGCTTCACAGAAATCTTCAATATAGAGCAAGTGCATGGACGGATAATCTGGTCAAGATTCTAGAGAAAGTGAACTTGAAATGGGCCGTTAAAAACAAAGGGAAAGATATCAACACTTTTGGCATATTCCTCCATTGAAAGAATCGAGTCTAAAGATAATCATTGAAGGATTACCATTTTAAAAAATCCGCATGTGACTCGCAGAGACTCGAAGCAGTCATAGAACAACAAATGGAAACCATCTCAAGACTTACAACGACTCATCTTCACAGATGGATCAGTTGATCAAGAAAGAGGTTCTGCTGGGGCAGCAGTTTACACTACCAACCATGAAGCTTACTGGAGCATGAATAGTGGGTGCTCAACATTGCAAACAGAATTATATGCCCTGAAGGAGACTATACATTATACAATTGACAATAATTTACATGATGTCATCATTTATACCGACTCTAAATCTTCGCACCAGGCGTTGTTATCCAGTCAGCACAAAATAATACACAACTCATCACACAAATCCTACATATAGGAAAAGAAGCCCACAATCTAGGGTTGTCAATCACTTTAAATTGGAAAGGAGGAAACCCCACCGCCATATAAAACTTTGACCGAAATATCTCGTAACAAGATTATCGCAATTAACCCAACTCAATTACGGGCTCACTATAACCCGTGCTACATGGACATTTTGTTCTGAGTAGCTGAACCTAAAACATGAACAACAACAACATTACCAGTGCAAGCATTAGGGAGTGAGGATGGCAGGCATTTGGTTAGAGTGTTCGCTTTAGAACGACCAGGTCTCGCAGCACGCCTGAAACGTTTGGGCCACGTTTCCAAACACCTGATGCCCCTGTTTCTTCTAGCAGTGAATAGATTCCTGGGAGCTAGACAATTATTGTTACCTGCATCCTGGGGAACACCAGTAGTTGTCCTAGGGAGGGGAGGGGGGTGGGGATGTTCCACCTGATGTGTCTGTTCACCCAACAGTAAATAAGTTCCAGGAAGCCACGCAACTGCTGAGAGTTGCCCCATGGGAAGAGTCAATCGTCGACCTCAATTAGCGTCACAGGTCCATCAAGGGTGGTCAGTGGGGGTCGTCGACTGGGCACCAGTCCCTAAGTGTTTGACCTTCTCCTACTCAATAGGTTGTAAACCGGTTGACGTTGCATGTTCCAGGGAAACATTAGTAGGGTACTGGTAGGGAAAGTTCTAAGCTCTAAGCCTACTACCAGGAGTCACTAGTCGTCTGCTCCTGTACCCACTTGTGTGTAAAACAAGTAGGGGAAGGCTTACCCTAGGGTATGTAGGGTAAGGCTTACTGTGAGGTATGTAGGGTAAGGCTTACCGTAAGGTATGTAGGGTAAGGCTTACCGTAAGGTATATAGGTAAGGCTTACCGTAAGGTATGTAGGGTAAGGCTTACCGTAAAGTATGTAGGGTAAGGCTTACCGTAAGGTATGTAGGGTAAGGCTTACCGTAAGGTATGTAGGGTAAGGCTTACCGTAAGGTATGTAGGGTAAGGCTTACTAAGTATGTAGGGTAAGGCTTACCGTAAGGTATGTAGGGTAAGGCTTACCGTAAGGTATATAGGTAAGGCTTACCGTAAGGTATGTAGGGTAAGGCTTACCGTAAGGTATGTTATCTTGAGGTTATCTTGAGATGATTTCGGGGCTTTAGTGTCCCCGCGGCCCGGTCCTCGACCAGGCCTCCACCCCCAGGAAGCAGCCCGTGACAGCTGACTAACACCCAGGTACCTATTTTACTGCTAGGTAACAGGGGCATAGGGTGAAAGAAACTCTGCCCATTGTTTCTCGCCGGCGCCTGGGATCGAACCCAGGACCACAGGATCACAAATCCAGCGTGCTGTCCGCTCGGCCGACCGGCTCCCTTGTAGGGTAAGGCTTACCGTAAGGTATGTAGGGTAAGGCTTACCGTAAGGTATATAGGTAAGGCTTACCGTAAGGTATGTAGGGTAAGGCTTACCGTAAAGTATGTAGGGTAAGGAAAAGCTCAACAGTCGCCTGTTAACGGGAGCCAGCAATCGGGAAGTGGTATTAACTGTAATTAATTAATTGTAAACTTGGAAATTGTAATTAGCGCACCAAGAATCAGTGTAGGACTTCTAGAATCACATTCTAGGATTGTGAGACACTTAGAAATAGGTTATGTAGAATTAACAGACCCATTTTTCTCTACACAAGCTAGAGAGAGTTTGAAGGCAGTATTATATAGTTGATACACTGTACCCATCGGTGAGAGAGAGAGAGAGAGAGGGGGGGGGGCACACTCTCCCACACTCTCCCTCACAGCTTCCCTCACTCCCTCCACTGACACCGTCACAACACCACTCCCGCACTCTCCATTCTCCGCCACAATAATTTCCTCACGGATACTGCCTCATTATAGCATTACTGATTTCTTAAAGGTACGTTTGTCTCCTTTCTTCTGGTAAGATGTTGAATTTAATTGTTTAAATCTGATTAATAGCGATGCGCCCTCGGTCAAGACTCGCTAAAAAGCCAAAGTTATTTAAACAAAAAATTATTTTCGCTCCGTGTTTTATGTGTGTTGTTGACTAGAATGAGAGGTTTTCAACGTCAGTATTAAGTCCCTGGAGGTGCTGATTTTGCAACTATGTTGCTCAGATGTAGTTGCCCTCCCGAATCTCTGATGGGCTCCTGTAAGCAAGACGAACTGTTACCACCGATGCTCTCCCTGAATCACTTGATATTCGCGTCCTTAATGACTGAGTTTCTAGGCGTCAGTTATACTGTACCAGCACAGAGATTTACTCTCCTCCTTTCCTCAGTTACTCTGCCTGATGACACCTCTAAGTTGTTGAGTTTATAGCTCTGATTGTAAGTAGAGGGATCATCTCCATAGTTGTAGAGTTGATACCTCTAGTTGTAGGTAGAGGTATCATCTATGAAGTTGTAGAGTTGATACCTCTAGTTACAGAGATATCTAGTTGTAGATGATATCTCTGGTTGTAGGTAGAGGTGTTATCTGCCTAGTTGTAGAAGATACCTCTAGTTGTAGGAAGTGATATCATCTACCTAGTTGTAGATGGTACCTCCAATTGTAGGTAGATGTATCATCTACCTAGTTGTAGATGATACCTCTGGTTGTAGGTAGAGGTATCATCTACCTAGTTGTAGATGATACCTCTGGTTGTAGGTAGAGGTATCATCTACCTAGTTTTAGATGATACCTCTGGTTATAGGTAGATATGATCTACCATGTTGTAGATGATACCTCTGGTTGTAGGTAGAGGTTTCATCTACCATGTTGTAGATGATACCTCTGGTTGTAGGTAGAGGTTTCATCTACCATGTTGTAGATGATACCTCTGGTTGTAGGTAGATGTATCATCTACCATGTTGTAGATGATACCTCTGGTTATAGGTAGAGATATGATCTACCATGTTGTAGATGATACCTCTGGTTATGGGTAGAGGTATCATCTACCATACTGTAGATGATACCTCTGGTTGTTCAATGTGGTCTCTCAACGCCCCACACCAGCGCGTCCATCACCCATAATACCAACCCCAGATATAATCAACATGAACTTGATCACTCTGCTATGACTGGTTAACGGTGGCACAGCCCGCTACATTTTCAGCGATCGTTCCTGTTCTCTGCCTGTAGGGAGCTCTACATGGGTTTCCTAACACCTGATGCCTCTGTTTACCTAGCAGTAAATTGATTCCTGGAAGCTAGACAATTATTATTACCTGAATCTTGGTGATAAAGGGGCGGGGAGGGGGGGGGGAATTTTACACCAGATGTCTCTGTTCACCCAGCAGTAAATAGTTACCAGGAAGCAGATTAAAGGAATGTTTAAAAAGGCGGTATACCTAATTACATTATTAGGAGATCCTACCTATGTAGAGTTAAGTCGATTCGATCGCTGCCTCTTTATTAATTTCCTGGAGATGCTTATGTCTCATTGTGTTCCCAGGAGACACGTGATGAACTTCCTCTAGGAGCAAGGGGTAACACTACTACTCTAATATGCTGCATACAAGAGTCTTGAGAATTAGTGAAGAATGGCCAGCAGGGGTAATTGTGACCCTAGGCCCGTGAGCAAGGGTTTAGGAGAGGTGCGTTGGGGTGAGGGGGTGTGGGAAGGGACTGGAGATGGGTGTGGGGTGGGCGTGGGGATAAGTGGGAGTGGGGTGGGCGTGGTGGTAAGGGTGTGTGGGGTGGGCGTGGGGATAATGGGGTGTGGGAGTGGGGTGGGCGTGGGTAAGGGTGTGATGGTAGGAGCGTGTGATGGTAGGAGGTGGGTGGGCGTGGGAGTAAGGGGTGTGGGGTGGGCGTGGGGGAAAGGGGGTGTGGGGGGCGAAGAGGTGGGCATGGGGGTAAGGGGGTGTGGGGTGGGCGTAGAGGTAAGCGTGGGGGTGGGCGTGGAAAGGGAGTGTAGGGTGGGCGAGGGAAGGGGGCGTGTGGGGTGGGCGTGAGGGTGGACGTGGGGGGTAAGGGGATATAGGGTGGGTGAGGGAAGGGGGGCGAGAGGGGAGGGCGTGTTCATGGTGGTAATCATTGCTCTACGCTCATGTTATCCTTCCGTCCGAGTGCCTCTGAACCCTTACGTATATCACCCCCCCCCCTCCCCCTCTGCTCTGTAGGCTCCCCCTTCCCCTCTGCTCTGTAGGCTCCCCCTCCTCCTCTGCTCTGTAGGCTCCCTCCACCCCCTCTGCTCTGTAGGCTCCACCCCCTCAGCTCTGTAAGGTCCCCCACCCCCTCTGATCTGTATAGGCTCCCCCCACCCCCTCTGGTCTATAGGCTTCTCCCCTCTGCTCTGTAGGCTCTCTCAAACCCCTCTGCTCTGTAGGCTCTCTCAAACCCCTCTGCTCTGTAGGTTCACACCACCCCCTTTGCTCTGTAGGCTCCCCCCTCTGCTCTGTAAGCCCCTCCCCAACCACTCTGCTCTGTAGGCTCCCTCCACTCCCTCTGCTATGTAGGCTCCCCTCACCCTCTCTGCTCTGTAGGCTCCCGTTCCCCCCTCTACTCTGTAGGCTCCCCCACCCCATCAGCTCTGAAGGTTGCCCTTACCCCTCTGCTCTGTAGGGTCCCCCACCCCCTCTGCTCTGTAGGCTCCACCTGCCCTCTCAGCTCTGTAGGCTCCCCCCACCCCCTCTGCTCTGTAGGCTCCTCCCTCACCCTCTGCTCTGTAGGCTCTCTCCACCCTCTCTGCTCTGTTGGCTCACCCCTAAGCTCTGTAGGTTCCTCCCTTACCCTATGCTCTGTAGGCTGTCTCCTCCCCTTCTGCTCTGTAGGCTCCCCCACCCCCTCTACTCTGTAGGCTCCCTCACTCTTCTGCTCTGTAGGCTCCCCCCACCCTTCTGCTCTGTAGGTTCCTCCCTCACCTTCTGCACTGTAGGCTCTCTCCACACCTGCTCTGAAGGCTCCTGTTACAACCCTTGAGACTTAGTACGGTTCTTTTCCCGCAGTGATCAAAAGATATGAATAACAGCCTTTCCAAATATTGTCTTGGGTATGAAAGAAAACACTGCATAAACGGGGAAAACAATGTACTACGCTAAGAGTGACAAAACATAACAATTAAATCGTAAAAATATATCAGCCAGAAATATTCTTTAGCATGCAATAATATAAATAAAAATCTTTATTGAGCAATGACAATAATCACCAGCACATGAATTAATAGATGGGATAATTACACAATCATCTACCCAGAGAATTAACTGAGTATTTAGCCAAAATAACAATAACCACTGACTTAACTTTAATACATGTCTCCGCTCGATCAACTCTGCCACGCCTCTGACAAAGCGTCTGTTCCCCAGGGCAGGCGTCCTACCACAAACATCAACTAAGCATCCACATAAACTATTGTGAAAATTCTACTACCAAATTGTGGTACTAATATTCAAATCATTATTAATCTTAAAATAATAATAATAATAATAATAATCTTTATTTAGGTAAGGTACATACATAAAAAGATTTACAAAGTTTGTTGGCTTTATAGATAGAGCTAGTACATACAATGCCTAAAGCCACTATTACGCAAAGCGTTTCGGGCAGGTATAAAAGTATATAATATTGTTACATTACTCAATATAGTTTACTGGCAAACAATAATAAGAATTAATCAAGGTTGAACAATAACCACTCGCTTGACAACAGGTTCTCACACTGGCCACATCCAAATATGGTCATCCCCCCACACGGAGAAACTAACAGGAATTAACTTGCAAAAGCCTCATATAATATAATGCAACTCAGGCACACTACAGCATGCTACAATATATAACATACAATAGTCTATAATCATACAACTGGATACTATACTAATTATAGAACAAGACAATAAAGTATATAAGCATCAGGAGTAATGTTAGAATCCTTGTAAGATTTGTAACAGCTCCCCCCACCCCACTGCTCTGTAGGCTCCCGCTCCCCCCTCTACTCTGCAGGCTACCCCCACCCCCTCTGCCCTGAAGGCACCCTTCCCCCCTCTGCTCAGTAGGCTCCCCCTGCCCCCTCAGCTCTGTAGGCTCCCCCCCACCCCCTCTGCTCTGTAAGCTCCCCCCACCCCCTCTGCTCAGTAAGCTATTCCCACCCTCTCTGCTCTGAAGGCTCCCCCTCCCCCCTCTACAATGTAGGCTCCCTTCACCCCTTATGCTCTGTATGCTCCCCCCACCCCCTATGCTCTGTAGGCTCCCCCTACCCCTCTTTACTCTGTAGGCCCCCTCCTTCCTCTGCTCTGTAGGCTCCCTCCACCCCCTCTGCTCTGTAGGCTCCGCCACCTCCTCTGCTCTGTAGGCTCCCTCCACCCCCTCTGCTCTGTAGGCTCCGCCACCTCCTCTGCTCTGTAGGCTCCCACCGCCCCCTCAGGTCTGGAGGCTCCCCTTCCCCCCCTCTGCTCTCTAGGCTTCCCCCTCAGCTCTGTAAGCTCCCTCCTCCCCCTCTGCTCTGTAGGCATCCCCCTCAGCTCTGTAGGCTCCCTCCACCCCCTCTGCTCTGTAGGCTTCCCCACCCCGGTCTGCTCTGTAGGCTCCTCTCACTCCCTCAGCTCTGTAGGCTCCCCCTTCGCCCTTCTGCTCTGTAGGCTCCCGCTACCCCCTCTGCTCTGTAGACTCCCTCCTTCCCACTTTGCTCTGTAATCTCCCTCCACCACCTCTGCTCTGTAGGTTCCCCCCCCTCAGCTCTGTAGGCTCCCCCTTCCCACTCTGCTCTGTAGGCTCCCCTCTCCACCCTCTACTCTGTAGGCTTCTCCCCCTCAGCTCTGTAAGCATCCCCCATTCAGCTCTGTAGGCTCCACCTCCTTCCTTGGCTCTGTATGATCCCCACACTCTCCCTGGCTCTGTAGGCTCCCCCACCCTCTTTGCTCTATAGGTTCCCACCTCCCCCCTTCTGCTCTGTAGGCTCCACCCACCCCCCTCTGCTCTG